GAGGGAACCTTGCAAAACGTCAATATGTGACGAGTTGGGAGTGAGAATGGGTTGATGGGTTGCATAAGCATAGAAGCCAATCAGAAGCTGGTTGCTGGGGGCATGTAATTAGCTAGACAACAGAAAAACATTCTTACTGTGTTAGTCATACTTGTTTGTGCATTCTTTACTGGAAACTCGGGCGTGTTGGAAAATTTTGTGGTTAGACCGCTTGTCTAAACTCGTCCTTCTGGCTTTGCTTAGCAAGTTGTTTTGTTCTGCTTGCACGCTATGTTCCATTAAACCTAAAACACAAGTCATGTACTGAAAACTTTATTTGGAACATAATAAAACCTTTTCATAAAGTCGTAATACTATGAGAATAAAGTTGTAATATTACGAGTTTAAAGTCATAAAATTATGAGAAAAAAGTCAATATTGTAGCCTTTACATGAAAAAGCATGCAGTTACCGCTGCATAAAATGAGGAATGTTGAGCAACTTGTCAAGCTGTTCTTTAGTTTTSCTATAAATAAATAGTTAATCTTTTAGCACATTAGCATCAAATTATCAGTAACAGGACTTGGAAATTGTGCAAATGACTATAAACTGAAGCCATGTTGTAATTAATGGATGCATTGATGGATTTAGTCGTCAGCTAATTTGGATGAAAACATAACAGTGACCCAAGTCATCATGGACTACTTTATAAACACAGACACATGGCTGTACACAACAGCTGTGAGGAAAATAAGGAGGAAATGAGGAACGGGAAATAAACACGTCATGATTATGACGTTTGTTCTCGTAATATTGTGACTTTAATCGCGTAATATTACGATTATAATATTGTGGCTTTATTCTCATAGAAATACGACTTTAATCTCGTAATAATAATAAAAAAATCTCGTTGTATGGCCCTAATACTCCGTCGTACACAAAAGACTCAGCTTTAATCCTATGATTAGTTTTACTCATCTACCGTTGGTGACATTTTTCTATTTGATTGTAATTTTTAAAAAATCATCTCTCCCCTGCTGTTAGAAATCTGGCCCTCGGAGGTGGTCTGCTCCTGCTGCTGGCTGAGTCCCGTTCAGAAGGAAAGAGCATGTTCGCTGGAGTTCCCTCCATGGGGGAGAGTTCACCGAAGCAGTACATGCAGCTGGGAGGCCGAGTCCTGCTCGTCCTCATGCTCATGACTCTGTTACACTTTGATTCCAGTTTCTTCTCTGTAAGTCTTTCCAGGACACCACCAGSTGGACTTTTTGCCATTTAATTTTATTTGACTTCTGACATTGCTACTTTCTTCAGTGTTGCACATGAAGAATGGTTTATTGAAATCKGTCTTATTTCCTGTTAGGTTACAGTCCGTCATTTTGCATGATGTCAAATTGCATGGCACGAATCAAAGAAAGTCCTTTCCTTTTTTCCTCTACAGATCCTGCAGAATATGGTGGGAACTGCCCTCATCATCCTCGTGGCCATCGGCTTCAAAACCAAACTGGCTGCCTTGACCCTTGTCGTGTGGCTTTTTGCCATCAATGTGTACTTCAACGCTTTCTGGACCATCCCCGTCTACAAGCCGATGCATGACTTCCTCAAGTAKGACTTCTTCCAGACCACCTCGGTCATCGGTGGCCTGCTGCTGGTGGTGGCGCTGGGGCCCGCTGGGGTTTCCATGGATGAGAAAAAGAAAGAGTGGTAGAGCGTGGCTAAGGAATGGCACAGCACCACTAACGCCCCTCAACACCCGGGACACAGAGACCTTCCCTCTCTTCCTGCCCACCACGATACAGTTGTTGTTCTTTTTTCTGCCATCAGTTGACAGCTTGTTTTCAGTTTTTGCTTCAGCCTCACTTTTTAAAATTGTCGGACATGCCTTTTTTAATTTTTTTTGGTAATTTTGATCTTTTTTTTTCACAACAGCAGGACAAAAGCTTGTTTTCTTCAGTGCAAGAAATACAGTAAAGTTTATTCTATATGCCRGAAGAAAAATAAAAGTAATTCATTGTGTTTTACAGATGTTATGCYATAAGTTATAGAATGATTTTCATCTAGTTTTTTGAATGAAAGGGTAGTTCTGATGAAGTGCAGCCACTTTTCCCACTGGATCATTTTTCTGGCAAATGTTTATTTAATGTTTTTGTCTCATAATTATTATAAAAGAACATCTTTACTTCTAGATGGTGATTTTGATCTAATTTTGCACCTGTGAAATTATATAATTTAAAATGTATTAAACATGTTTTGACACTTTTGTTTTTTAACGACTGTTGGAACAGCTTTGATGTAAAACTGTCAGATGGTGGCCCATGACTTGATGCCTACAGGAGCTACACCTGCCACCAGATTTGATTTGAGTCGTCTCTTACAGAAACAAACGTAGCAGCTGTTCCATGCTTTTCTTCTTCCTCAATGACAAAAAATAAATAAAAAATAAACATTCTTATCTTCATTCAGTGGATCTATTTACATTTTCTAGATTGTGCCTAAAATAACCCATAAATCCTGATGATTAATAATTATAGTTAGGTTTGCAGGTAATTTCTGTTTCTTAAAAGAACATTTTTCAGTTAAGTTTATAAGTAGATTGAGAAACAAACTGAACACTAAACTAGCTAAAATAATAAATAAAATACAAATAGTAAGATAAAATTACAGTTGAGGTTTCCTTCTTATTACTTATGTTGTGCTTATTCAATACTGTCTCAAAATTATGAGTTAACATCCCATAAATATGAGATACTGAGTTAAAACAATGAGATCAAAAACCATAACTTTGAGGTTCCAAGTCATATTCATGATTAGTTGTAATTACTATTAATTAAGTCAAAGTTAAAAGAGTCCCCTGTGAGACGGAGCTTCAACTCCCATCTCCGGCAGAACTTCGAACACGTTCAGGGGGAGGCGGGGGACATTGAGTC